GAGGATGAGGAAGGGAAGCGAAAAATCTACCGTCATATCATGATTGTGTCCCTTCTACTGTATGAAACACCATTGTGTTGCATACGCGTCACTTCCGAGGTGTTGGTGTCACAGGAGGAAGGGACCATAGCGGAGGATAGAAAGCTTGCGCAGGAAAGGAAGGTCCCGGCGGTTGACGGGGGACTAATCTGGTAGATGATAAAGCAGTAACTTCTATAGTTCCTCAATACCAATAACATCCACCATTTTTCTGAGACTAGCAAAGTCTAGCGGCCGAATGACCTTTGGATGACCAATACAATTAGGTACTTGGGCTGCTTATTATTTACACAGTAGGATGAGTACATTGTTAAGGCCTCATCGGCGTGAGAGTTTTCCTTTTGATTGCCTTATAGAACATTGCTATTTCTAGTATTAAGTACTGGGTAATTGTTATTTTTCGTTCGTTTGAGTTGCACTCATTCATGTGCTAAAAGCACTTGCAACACAAATAAACAAATAGGTAAATAACCGGAACATTCTGCTCAGTAACTGCACCACTGTCAAGTTCCACAACATCCCGAAGTTAGACTACACCAACTGAAGACCACTGCGATCGTTTGGTGTTTTTCACAAAAGTGATCAGTGCGAGCCAAGTGTAGAAGAAAGCTTGTCTTAAAGGCAAGCCCCGGGATAAAACTGGTGCTAACGATAAGAGCGCTTCGTAGTGATGACTGAGCTGGGACGGCCTGAAAGTGGAAAGGAAAGCTAGAGAAATCTTTGGGAATCGCTGAAATTAAGGCCTTAACCTTCAAAAAGGTCGGATGTGGAACGATGGCGAGGCAGGGCGGTCAAAGAAGACAAAACACGCGAGAGATCACGCCGTTCGAGAGAGCACGCCGATATCGAGGTGGGTGGGAAGCGTTGCAACGGGGGTCGATGGTTGCAGGCCCGTAAGGATTAGCGCCCTAACCGCGCAACTTTTGCGGCGAAGCTGGAGTGATCTAGGTAGGTAGGGACCTTACAATTTCCCTCGCGGTATCCTTCCCACAAGTCGGGCTAATCCCGGGGTTTGCCTTTAAACGATAAAATCAATCACTATTCCCATTTATTAGCTCCCTCTACCTCCGAAACAACTCCCTCACCGCCCAGTTGGACCCTCTTCCTACTCTGTCTTTCGACGACTGTTGGCGCCAACAAGTCGTCGAGCTAGGAGTGATGGATTACTCACTGATTTTCACACATTTTCTATCGCTTCACTGTCCCCGAATTTAACCTTGGACCCGTTCCATTCCAAAAACGACGCCATTGACACCGAAGACGACCCCCCCCTCACTTAGAAAGGCTTGAGCATATTACCTTCGTTGTCGATTCGCCGACACACGTTCACTGTCCTGCACGCCTGAGGACGATTGCAGACAAGCTTCTCCTCATCTCTGCGCAAGTTACGAATCTTTTCCGGATCAGACAATGAGAACTCTCAACATGGTGATGCTTCACAGTGACAAGGTTGCAGACTGTCCTCTCCGTCAAAGAGTTAGTGGCTTCATTCTCGCCCTTTTCACCGACCAGGCTCCTAGCCAATAACTGGCCCGATTTCAAGAAGTGAGATGTGGCCCAACAGCATAAAGAAGTAGAGAAGTAAGAAGAAGTAGTAGTCAATACTTTTTTTACGGCAGAGTGGAGGCATTTCCACCAGGTCCTTATCAAAGTGTATTTTGAATAAGTTGCTCACATGTCATCTTATCCTCAGTCTTAGAGGGCCCAAACATACTTTTTAGGACTAAAGATAAAATACCGAGGATGACCTCCCCCTTAATGGCTTTACACCTGCAGATGATTGGCAAAAATGCACGATTTAAGACTTCCATTAGTCGACAAAGCCGTCTCTATAAGACGAGTGTGACGCACTCTAGCGATTGGCATTTTCAAAGGAACTTTGGTAAGCTCACTTTGCCAATCAAAATACAGTTCGAATTACGCTTTGAAAATAGGATTTTCCATTACCGCTTCTTTCCAATTTCACTCGGAGCAATTATAACAAAAAAAATAAATAAAGGATAACATATGCACACCTAATTAAACTGTAAAACCTTGTCACGTATTATTCATTAGCTTGGATCTCACCTGCCATTGCAATGGTATCGTCGGTTCAAGCCCAGTTGAAAATATCGCGAATTCGCACAGAAGCTTCAGCCAGTGGAATATTCTCTTTGTTCCCCGTCCAACACATCAGTCCTAAATCAACGACGTCAGAGATCAACAAGAAAGTTATGGTTATGTGCAACGCTAAGCTTGATGGGCATTTTGCGTTTCACAAAAACTACTACGGCGTGACCCTAAGGTGACACTCAGTGCGCAAACCCCAACGCTAAGCAGCTAAAGTATACCATAAAGCTTGCATTTCCTAGCTGATCATGACCAGATCCTTTTTGAGGCATTGTGAGCGCACAAATTCTGTGCACATACATCTTCAGTAATCCGTGGGGGTAAATCGTTGAAGATCTTCTTATGATATACTAGTAATTCACGGGCGAAAATCGTTTCTAGGGAACGGCAACGGCTCGTCGAGGATTTTCGCCTGTTCATTTCGCGCGTTCTCCCGCGCGCACAACCACTCTCGCCATCCGCGAGCCGTCTGTGCTCTCCGAGCGTACATTCACTCTCGACATTACTCTCGCAAAAGAAAGGAGCCATGTCCGAGGAATTCCTAGACCGTTATTCACCCTGCTCGTAATAATGAGACTACGTGGTCGCCTTCCACTGATCCGCAGTCGAACAATCCTACAAACGCGATGGTATGTAATCTTTTAATAGTAAAACTATGGCATTTACGTTTTTCAGCGTACACTCTCCAAAGTATCCCATTATAAGGACGAAGGTCGAAGAAGGGGAAACTCATTTGATGGAGAGAGGGTGCAAACCCACACGCAATTCACACCGAAGAGTATGCCCCGGTGATCTACTATGGACTTCTCCGGCGCTACTGGAGTACGTAACAGGTTGCGGTACGCCCTTCTCTTGCTTGCGCTCGAGCCATTTGGCAGAGAGAGAGAGAGGTTAGCCGTTTGGGGAGGGTAGCATCGACGCAAGTCGCACCAATGCAAAAACCAGGGGTAAAAAGTGCTTTTTCATCGCAAAATCGCCAAAATCCGCCTTTGAGAACTCATGACTAAGAGCGTTGTGCATGTGTAAGTCAAACTAAGCTCTCAGAGTTGAGTTCCTGTAGTTCTCTTGAAGTCCCAGTTAAATCGGAAATGATGAAGTATATTACAAACTCACGCATCCATATGCTCATCCAGCTGAGGCACAATTTTAACAACACCGTCATTCCTATTGATGAGCATGTAGTCACCATGTGGAAGGTGGCTAATTTCTTCGACAAGTTTAGCGAACCGAGTAGTGTGCGCAGATAACCTGGAACAAATTTCTTCCTTGTATAATATCAAAGATACTTCATTATGATGTAAAACTACTCTTTAGAATCGCGAAAATAGCATACATTCGTCTAGCGTCCTGCCGAATAGTAGGTCCAGTCCACTGCTGTTCACTCCCAGTCGATAGTCGGAAGCTGAACAATAAGTGTTAGACTTATACATCCACGGTGAAGGAAAAAGGAATAGGAACCTTCCCGATGCCCAGTGCTGTATCTGCAACAGATGATTTGCCCTAAAAACATTAGTTGAATCATGAGTATTCACCAGAGAAACAACAAAAATCTGACAGTGGAGTTTGCTTTCTTGAAGCGAGATCACATTGCTACATCTGGACTGATCCCACTTACAACAACAAGCTCTATAACGCCTGGTAACATAAACTGATAACTAATCACATAAAAGGATGGAACATATTCATACTTGAAGTGAGTCCTGAAGAGAGCATGATTGGCAGACTGCTTGAAAATCTCTTTGCAATAATTCCAACCAGATTCCGCATCAAGTAAGCGCTGAAATTACGAAAACTACGTGCAAATAAAACGGCTAAATTTTTTCAAGTTCCGTGGAATAAAAAAGACGTACCATAGCTCCAGCATTCGGGATGTATTCAACTTTGGGCTGGAAAGACAACGGCATAGATTTCAAAGATTGATGCCCTTCAGAACAGAGTGGTGCAGGGCGAGAGCGCACTAGCACATTTGATCCAATGATAGAGAATACTGAGTACGTTCTCCCTGAAAACCCAGAACCAGTGAGTGTGAACTTGGAAAATAAGCTAAAAATCGCGATTATGCTCTTGACCTAAACGTTAACCAAAATACTAAGAAGACATACATCTGAAATCGAAGAAAAAATCCGTACCAAATATTTTACTGCTCACCGTTTTCCGAAAAGTTTGCAGCACTAGAGGTTCCAGGAGGACTTGGCAATGTCTCAAGTGAAGGAAGAATGGAGTCAAGAGGATCGCAGAAGTCACTTAAAAATGAAAATGAAAAAAAAATTAGCGCGAGCCGCTTATAGAGTTCGTTCGACTACCTTTGCGTTGCAGTTGAATCCACCTTCGGATTTCTTCGACAGAGGCTCGCTAAGCTCGACTTTTCTGCTCAGCTACAATTAAATGATGAGAAAACAGAAGGTAATATCAGCGATATGGATAATAGTACCCTTCTTAGTGACATATGTTGACTTCAATAAATATTTGATAAATTGCCGATGGATGGTTACCGGCTCGACTGCACCAAGTGGGCGCGGTTTACCAAGGACAGCTACGTTCGTCGTTGTTCCTAGGAAAAGCAAAAATGTAAAATTGCTGACTAATTTAAAGCAGCCTAGACCTCTTTTTTCTGCAGCGACATTAAACGAGTGAAAAACTGCTTACCTTGAACAACTTTTTCTACAACACGGATAGGTACAGCATATGAGTATTCATGCCCAGCAAAAGGTTCACTCATCAAATGGCAAGCAGTGGTTGCATCCATCGCTACTCGAGCGCCGTATTCAAGGCACATCTTTGTTATATTCTACAAAATGGGGCACTTTACATTTCACAAGATGTGATGTGAAACTTTCTAAAAACTTTTTACATCAAAATCGTCAATTATGCGATCGGAATCGCTGGCTTCAGTAGGATAATTATTGTACAATCTAGATGTTTCCAGCATACAACGGCGAACGAGACTCGGAAGCTGTAAACCCATTCTGTGTCAGCGAACATGACAAATCTTCCAAACATCAAGATAATAAAACAAATAAAAGAAAATCAAAGCTGTAGGATATGCCACCGCACCTGAATCCTATCGTGGCGTCCTTTCAGAACGGTTGTTACGAGATTGGGGAAATTGTCCTGTTCTGTGAAACACGCTTGCGTTTTCCATTCAACTGAGCACACAGGTGATGAGCAGTCAAACTTTTTTGGAAAGTTGTGATCAGACCAACGTTTTTTCCAACGTTTCTGAACGGTTTTTGAATTACTTTGATTTATTACTGTTCTGGCCGCTACTTGAAGTGCGGTTGTGTGGCTCGCTAATAAGTGTGTTGAAGAAATAAAAGCTATTGCATATTGCAGGCTTCATATTTGTCCATTTCTTCCGCAGAAGAAGGATTTTCACTTTAGCCAGATGTCAGAGTCCAACGATTCGCCAGTATCCAGCGATTCGCTAGCGAATTGCGGGGTACGAGCGGATCGAACTATGAACCAGCGAATCGAATTTTGGGCGCAATGTGGCTCGGGGGGCACCACGCAACATCGCGTCAAAATCACGGAAACGCTCCGTTTTAGGACTAAGCTTTTGAAGAGGAGAGGAACTCCGGTGTACGGAAGCAATTTTCGTATTCTCCGGAGTTCGTCCCTGCTGTTTAGGCTTAGTCCTAGATGACTTTTTTCTCAGAGTGCCCCCCCCCGAGCCACATTGCGCCGAATTTTGTTGCAGCGGGTCGAAGTATGTATTGTAAAAGCGACTTGACTGTAAACAGTAAAAGCTTAAAAGTGGTAAAACACTCTCTCTCACTTGCACGTTGACTCTCGCCACTTTTTCGAGCTGTCATGGGGCCGTATGCTGAATGTTGGGTAGGGGACGGGGATGGGTAATGTTGGGGAGGTTCGTCGCAGGACCCACTGGGCAACGGCCGCACCTTTGATTTTGCAGCTTTGTTTCCATTCTTTCATCGCTGCTTTTGGTGTAAAGAAAGGTATTTACGTGGGAATACAATCAGAAATGGGTTCTGCGACGAACCTCCCAAACGCTTACCCATCCACGTCCCCTACACAACATTCAGCATACCGCCAATGGCCTCGGGTGATGGCGAGAGCCAATTTTCAAGTTGAAGTCCTGCCACTTTCAGCAGTGTCGAGTCGCTGGTACATCGGTTGAACCGCTGGTACACAGCTCGATTCACTCACGCAACGCCCAACTCCCTCGATTCTTTAGCGAATCGCTGGGTTCGCCTCCCTCGATTCTAGCGAATCGCTGGGTTCGCCAAGTCTGACACCGGCCCAAAAAAGAGCATTTTTGAATCGATTCAACTTGAGTTGCAATAAGGTGTTTTGGAAGGCCTTACTTATTTACTTGTTTATTCATACGTCCAGTGGATGCACTAGAGTAAGTGAACAATCTAGCAACGAAGGAGCGGCGGTCACAGTCGCTACAATCAGAATGGGATGTACCTAACGACTGACTTAATTTTTTGTATAAAAATATATGAGAGAAGAGCCCGATTGGAAATTTCTTGAGCTTGTCATACGCAGAGTAGTCATGTTGGAGCCGTAAATCATTATAGAGAATTGAAAATCATGGTGGATCACGCTCGTCGAAGGAGGTCGCATTTTCTCCGAAAGGAAGTGAGGGGATCGTAAGCGCGAGGATCAACAACGGGCACAGCGATGCTGGCCAACTTACCATTAGTCGCCACGTGTCATCCACTATTTACATATTTCTTTGTAGGATCCTAATGTTTATAAATAGAAGCGGTATAAAGGAAACTGAATGGAGGACCTTGCGCTTGCTAGAGTGTTGATAAGTGACGATGGCCAAATGCGAGAAGCGTTTGCAAAAATATACGCAGCATTATATCGCAAGTGGAAAATGATAGCGTTGAAATTGCCTTTGTCTCCTCTATAATTTTTCATTAGCCATCAAGGAGTTCATTGATTATGGAAAAACTATAAGACAAAGCATGAAACAAGCAATGTGATTGCTACCACCTGTTGTTCACTGAATTATATATGCTCTATGCACCATAGAAACGGCACAAATTAAAACAAAAACCCAATAGAAGGAAAGAAACTGACCAATACAAATCCACGGGCCATATTATGCACGAAAGACAAAGGATGGTCCTTATGAATCGAAGTTTCACTTTCCAGATTGCTCTCTATCATATCAAAAACATAGGATTCCACGTAGCTTCGCTCCGGGTCGGCTCGTTTTTGAAAATCCTGCATGAAAAATTATCATTCGGTTGAGAAAATTGAGTGTTTGGCGCTCCAGACCATATCCGAAATGCTCAACCGAAGACCGCTAATTAAAACAAACCAGAACTAATATTCTCGATATTATATATCGCTACAGACGAGCTCAAATATTAAGAAAGCATGGAGGAAACTGCAACAGCAAGAAAAGTAAGGAAACACACCCTCAGTTCTTTCAAATTGTGTACGAATCGGACTGATCCTGAATTCATCAGATTCTGGCAAATCCCTAGGTAACGAGTTTGCTCGCTTTGGCTCAACTCCTGAACAGCAACAGTTATCAACAAGAAAATAACATGAATGAAATAACATATAACAGACGGAAAGCACTCCTCGAGGAATGAGGGAATGAGCATCAGGACACCATGGAAGAAGTGCAGGAGGCTGAAAGAAAACGGCGGCACAATTAAAAAGAAATGAAAAGCATAAACGTGCTGACCAACTTACATTGACATTGCTCGCTTTTGCATCGTTCGCTTTCTTAGGCGAATCTCCTTTTTCAGCTTTTGCACGCTGACGCAATTGAATCATGAACCCGTGAGCTGCTTTTCTGAAAACATGGAACAATACTCAGTACGGTAGCCCACATGATGACCATTATGAAAATATATTAATGACCCTCACTTGCTCATCTTTTTCAATTTCGCGATCTCATATGTTAAATTATTGTCAGAGAGCTCAAACGAACGTTTATACAGATGTGCATCTATTTCCTCATCCGTGATTATCAATCTCGTTTTCTGAAGTTAAAGTGGTTACTTTGGTTCTCGTGATAAGATATTGAATCATTATCAATTACCATAACTGTGCGACTATTACCTGCTTTTTATTTTTTTCTGTCTCTTTGAGCTTTTTAGGTTTTGGTGGCTCCTTTTCCGGTGATGTTTCCTTTTCTGCTTCATTGGTCGTTTCTAAAATTAACCAGAACTCTATCAATAGAAAACTGCCACATGTCTCTACTAATGCTTTAGTACACCTCAACTTTTAATTAAGGAAAACTTGATGGTCTTTCCTTGCTCATTTTATTACTACATTTCGCTGAAAATTGTATCCAAAATCTTTGAATCCTACTATTGAGAGTGTTAAATATAGAAGCAATTGTTGAATCCCGGAATCTGGACACCACATATTCTACGGTCTCGTGACAGCCGTAGGTGCTATATGTGGGGAAATCCCTAATTATTGCACCATAATTTGCGAGCTGGTTCTACTGGCGATTCATTGTTTTTGAAGCGTGACCTACCATTACTTCGTCCACCTAGTTCTGAATAAACTTGCCAAGTTTTCAGGTTTAGCACTCGCTTTTCAGCTAGGAAACGCCCAAAGTTAGGTGGAGATACTACACCTTCTCAGAGCGGTTTCTGACACCCTTCCATTTCACTCGCCACTCAAACTTGAGTCTCCTACACATTCTACTGTAACCACCTTAAATCTCACTAAATCAACGAAAGAGAAAATCGATGGCCATGCAAGTATGGGAAAGGTGACCGGGGCGATGATGGTTTTAAGGACATT